TAGTATTTCAGTTCCTTTGATATTACTATTTCCCCTTACAAATTAATAAACTGATATTCTGGATTCTGTCAGTCTCGTGACCTTGTTAAATATAAGTTCTCCCCATACAGATAGATCTTATTTTTCTGTTATGGGGAAATTGAGTTTCTGAGCGGGTATAGTTGAGGGCCAGATGTTGTATACTTTTTTCAAAAGCCATAAAAGTACTGAGCGCTATTGTGGAAAACTTTCTTGAGGACATCCAGCAGACCTGGTAACACAGAGACACATCCTTTGGCAGGGCCAACAGCCTTTTCCGTTTTGAAACTCCAAGAGAGTTTCAAGGGAGTCATAGGGGAATATTGATGTCCCCTACCACCAATCAATCTGATTAATGGGACCTTAATGATAAAATGATAAAATTAACTAGAGAGTCCAACCATGTATGTGAGTTATGGATATAACGTCTCAGATAACTCACAGTGTTTATCACAAACTGTAGTACATGAAATAGTGTGTTTCTAATACCAGAGAGCAAGTTACCTCAGATATATGTGTCAGGACTTCTCCATAAGTTACAAAAGAGATGTGAGAAATTGTTAGAGGAGGGGCAGATCATTTAATAAATGATACTGGTATTATGTAGAAAGAATCCACTTCCATTGTCCTCTATGTGTCACCAGCCAAAATTCGTTCCAGGTAAATCAGTGTTTCTCTTTCTTCTCCCACCCCTTTTAAAACACTCATTAAGACACTTAATCTTCCTGGACGGAATTAGTTTGTGTGTATCGGGATCTAATATGTTTTCCCAAATGACTAGCTAATTATTCCAACATCCTTCATGAAATGTACAAAAAGGAGTTAACATAGTAGGCCTGAGATTGCTCTCTTTAGAATGTCCTGTTTTCTGGTTTGGCCCTGGAGTTTGGGAACTGGACTAAGGGAGAATTCCCACCACTCCTAGAACTTGTAAGAATGGCCTCACTGTGCCTAAATATTTTGTGCAGACAATGTGGTTTATGCTAAATAATTTCTTTCCTTCTGGCATTCTGGAAGTTTGGTACATGCTAGGCACAGGGTATGTATCTGGAAAGCCCCCAATAAAAATCTTGGGCATTGAGTCTCTAATGCCCTTGGAAGACAACATTTCACATATATTGCCACAATCTGTTTGGAGAAATTAAACATATCCTGCATGATTAGGACTCTTGGAAGCTTGAGGCTAGTTTCTTCTTTACTTCACTTCATGTTTCTTTTCCCTTTGCTGATTGGGTTTTGTATCCTTCCACTGTAATAAGTCACAGTTGTTAAGTACAACCATATGCTGAGTTCTGTGAGTCCTGCTAGCAAGTCACTGAACATGTGGGTGGTTTTGAGGACCCCCAGAACATTGAATATTTCACTTTTTTCTATGAATCTGAACTGTTATCCTAATATAAATGTCTATATATGGGCTCTCTATGTTCCATTTATCTTTTCTGAGTCGCTTCTACTCTATTTTAATACCATAGCTTGCTTTTAAAAATTTTAGATTCCTGCCCAACCTTCAAATTATTTTTCTTTCAAAAATTTCTGAACTATTCATGGGTTTGTGTGTGCACAGAAATCTATAAGGTTTCTTAAACCTCTAAGAAAACTAAGAACCTCTAAAAGGCAAATGGGAAAAATCTATAAATACTCCATTCAGGAGAAAGAAAATTCAACTGGCTGAACTTCTGAAAATAGGTTTAATTTCATTAATAATACCAAAACAATGCAATACACATACTCCAATTCCATTGGTAAATGACTTAAAAATTAAGAATATATGCTGCTAGGGTCATAAGCTCATTAAAACAGTATCTACCAAGCTCACCATCCCTTTCTAAGATTAAACTATCCAGCCTATAGCTCTATTTTAAAGGAAGAAATCCTTGTTGAGCAAAGGATGGCCACTGACCTGGACCAGCATTGAACACCTGGCCCAAGGATGCACACAGATAAACAGAGAAGGGGAAGGATCAGGTATGTTAATGGCAGAAAACACAGATCTCTGAATGGCTGTCTAATCGAATAGGACAGGTTAACCACTGGAGTGAAGGTATTAAGCCATTAGGTTAGGAAATGGGCTTTAAAGAAGGTGAGTGTTCATAGAGTTGGTGAGACAGATCAGGGGTGTCACTATGAAGGGGGTAGATGTCCTTCTAGAAAATATTTGAAGGATTGTGTGGGCGTGGTGGCTCACGCCTGTAATCCTAACACTCTGGGAGGCCAAGGCGGGCAGATAGCTTAAGGTCAGGAGTTCGAAACCAGCCTGAGCAAGAGCGAGAGCCTGTCTTTACTATAAATAGAAAGAAATTAATTGGCCAACTAATATATATAGAAAAAAATAGCCGGGCATGGTGGCGCATGCCTATAGTCCCAGCTACTCGGGAGGCTAAGGCAGAAGGATTGCTTGAGCCCAGGAGTTTGTGGTTGCTGTGAGCTAGGCTGACACCACGGCACTCACTCTAGCCTGGGCAACAAAGCAAGACTCTGTTTCAAAAAAAAAAAGAAAAGAAAAGAAAGAAAATATTTGAAGGATGGACAAGCCTTTAACAGACAGAGATTATAGGGGGCTGGGAATAACTGGAGGGAAGGGACAAGGTGAGTAAGAAAGGTGACTCTTCTAGGCACAAGGAACTGTGTGAATAAGCTGTGGTGCAGATAATGACTGTGAAAAGCCTATATTTATCTGTAAAGGATTATATATTTCATGTGCCACCCTAAAAGGCATTAGGTACAAAAGGTTTTAGAGTTAAGTTCTAAGGTATCTTTAAGCCACAGACTATCTCATACAAACCATTTCTGAGATTAGAAAATGAAAAGAAATTATTCAAACTCATTTAATGAATGTAATATAACAAATCCATAACGAGAAAACTACAGAATCAAAAAATAAAATTATAGGCCAATTTCAATCATTATTAAGAATGAAAAAAGTGGCAAGTTAAATCCAACAGTATATTAAAAAAATAATAATAACAAAAATCCTGTGACAGAACTTCAAGGAGATAAGCATATCCACAATTGTAAATAGGCATATCCATAATTATAGTCAGAGATTTCAGCACCTCTCTTTCAATAACAAGTAGAGATAAAATAAGTAAAGATATATAACAGAAGACCTAAACAACATTATGAGCCAACTAGACTTAATTGACATCCATAGCACAGTCCATGCAATAACAGAATATATATTCTCTTCAAGTGCACATAGAATATTTACCAAGATTAACCATATTCTGGGCCATAAATGAAATCTCAATAAATTAAAAGAATTCAGGTCTACAAACTATGTTCTATGATCACCATAGAATTAAATTAGAAATCAATACCTGGATAAGTCCCAAATACTTGAGAACTACATAGCATACTTCTAAATAACTCTTTGATCAAAGTAGAAACCAAAAGAGAAATTAGTAATTTCAATTGAAGAACAAAAACATAACATATCAAAAATTGTGGGATGTAGTTAATGCAATATTAGAGGAAAATTTGCAATACTCAAGTGTCTATATTAGAAAAAGAGAAAGGACTCAAATCAATGATCTCAGTTCCTACTTTAAGAAACTAGAAAAATCAGAGTAATTTAAACACCAAGTAAATAGAGGGAAAGAAATAATAAATATAAGAGCAGAAAACAATGAAATAGAAAACAGAAAAACAAAGAGAATCAAACTAAAAGCTACTTCATTGAGATGATCAATAAAATTGATAGGCCTCTAGTCAGAAATATTTTTAAAAAGAAAGAGAAGACACAATTATTAACATCAGCAACGAGGGAGGAAATCATCAGATATTCTACAAATATCAAAAGGATAGTATGAATTTGATTATTAAGGTTGCAGGAAAACAGGCACTCTCATACATTCCTGGTGTGAATGAAAATCTATAGTATCCCTTTGGAGGGAAATTTGAGAATATCTAATAAAACTACACATGCACTTACCATTTGACCCATCAGCCTCAATTCTAGGAACCTATGAAGATATACCACCAACCATAGAAAAATACTTTTGCACAAGGTTATTCCTTCCACTACTGTTTGTAATAGCTTAACATTAGAAACGCATGTCTGTTCATAGGAGAGTGATTGAATAATACGGTAGTGACACAATGGAGTACTATGCAACTATAACAAAAAGAATAAGAAAGATGTTTATGGATTAATTGTCTTCAAATATGTAAGATGTGGAAATAGAGATGTTAGTAAGAGTAGTAGAATTCATTTTTCCTAACTGTATTCTAAAGGACTTTAGTATCCTGAGGCTGTCTCATAAAGCTAGGCCTGACTGAAAGAGATCAACACAAACAAGAGGTGGCACCAAGAATGTGTGCAAATCACCAAGTCTAAAGCATTGGCCATAAAAAAGAAACAAGGAAGAGAGCAAAGGATCTTAAGAAGGAAATCTGTAAGGCTGTCCATAAAGCGGTCTCTGTAGGTAGTTCCGCAAAAGACCCTCCTGTGAGACCCAGGACTTGAGGAGGAGGGAGTATGAGATGGAGCAGCAAACTTTGTGTTAGCAGATGAGAGGCAGCTGTTGAAGGCACACTGAGACTGGGCTGTTTCAGAACATCACATCCGGGGCAGACTCCCAGAATGTTACTGCCTGAGAGTCAGATCCAGGAGTCCTCTTGGAGGTTGAGAAACTTAAAAGTATCCCAATAAGAAATCCTACATGAAGGACCCAAAGCACCCTAGGTTCCTTACCCTCAGGTCTATGCGTACAGTCTCCCTCTTCCCTAGTGCAGACCAGGTTGAGGTTCAATCCTCCCTGCATTCCCAGCCAGCTGGAGCCTTGGAGCAAAAAGCAGATGTGTCCCCCTCTCTTCCCCTTCCCGACCCTCCTCCAGTTTGCAGCTGGTTTCAGTCATTCCCACTGCCTGGATACTGACAGTAAGAAGACAGACAGCAGAGTGAGTGCCGACTTGGTGAGAGGAAGAGAGTGGCAGTGTGGCCCTCGGTCCCCATCCCCACCCCTGCCTTTCCTGATCCAGCGCCATGGGTGAACACGACTTGTTACTTGACCGTTTCCCCTCGCTGGGCTCCTCTGAAGCCTATTCCGCCCAGATGCCCACCGTTCCCATCCGCACATAGAAACAGAGAGTCAGGAGGCGCTGGCGGCACAGGGCCCCACGCCCAGGCTGAACACAGAAGGCAGGAGGGAGTAGAAGCGCCCGAGGCATTTCCTTCACTCGCATCTCAGCCACCACCTCCCACGGAGGCCAGATGCCGGCCTCGCACCCACCTTCTCCAATAGCAACGGCCGCTTCTCTCCACGAATGCCTCTCGCGGGATGACCCCCGGCTTCTCGAGCTCCTGGACAAAAGACAGACCCGGCTAAGACGCTCGCGGTTGGCTGAGGGATTGTTTTTTCTACTAACAAATGCTGTGGGCGCCTGAAAAATTAGTTTTCAGGCTAGTGCATCATGGAGAGACACCCGCCCACCTTAACATCCCTCTGCTCCTCCCACCTGGGTCTGTGGATCCTCAGGTGTCTGTCCTTCCCGTCCTTTCTCCGTGCAAGGAAACACACCTCTCTGCGGGCCCAAGTGAGAGCCTGGTCACATGACTTGCCATCGGCCTCACGTGACCGCGCAGTCAGCCTGTCTGCGGCAGCCTTGCACCACGGATGGCGGTCTTCTGCCTCTGGGGGTGAACTGCTTGCTAGGAGACCCTGAAGCTCCTGACTCTGGTGAAGACAGACAGCTGGAAGGCAGGCTGGATTTGGAGCTAAAGCTTCCAGCCCTAGGCCTGGGCTTTGCTCGGTAGGAACACTTGGCAGGCGAGGAACACTCTATGAGGATTTTGGAGATGAAGTGATTTTTAATATTTTGTATGTGACTCGGGCAATATAGTAAAACATACACACACACACACACACACACAGAGGAGCTGCCTTTGAAAATGTCCATAACCAAAACAAACATTCAAACTCCAATCTCCACCACCAGGATGGGTCCCTGTTAACATTTGTGGTTTGTGAAGTGAGGCAAAACTGCCACTTTTCCCTACTTCCATAAACCTTAGCATACTACGATCGGGTGGGACACCTCTTACACCCTGAGACAAACCAAAAATAATAGGATCCCTGAGTCTAGTTCTTTTCCTTAAAAAAATAAAACTCATCATTTTTCCCCATATACTGAACTCCCTTCCCAAACCAACTTTATCCCTCACTTTTGCATCTGTCTGAACATACGTTCCAACCTTTGCAAATGTACAAACACGTATGGAATGAACTCAGGAGCTTTGGTAATTTTAGTTTATCCCTTTTAAATAATTTTGTAGTTTTATTGTGCAAACTAGTTCTTCTGAAGTTGTCTTTTGTACCTCTATTCCTTTGATAGATTTTGTATCATTGTAGAATTTTGCATGAATTCAATTTACTCACATTTATATATTTTTTTTTTATTTCGGCATATTATGGGGGTACAGATTTTAAAGTTTCAATAAATGCCCTTCCCCCCTCCCCCCATTTAAGTGGGATATTTTCCATATATGACATCAGTCTCCTCTATCACACCAAATATAGAAAGCATCAGAACTTTTAATTAAAAAACCTATATATCATCACTTTTAATTGCCTTAACACTTGTCTTGGGCAGCATCATGATTAAGTCATTTTCCAGACTCAAAACCCTGTGCTTTCCTGTCTTGTTCTTTTACCCTTTAGGTAGCATCAAAGAAACAGTTGTACTTTGAGCTCCAAAATCCAACTTCTCAGCTCTTCAAAACTTACCTCACCTCCAATACCCCTGAGTATGTTTCTCCCACTCACTCCAGGCAGACTGGATACCTCACTCCTGTAGAACACTTTTCCCAGCTCCATGCTTTTTCTTTATACATACCACCAACCTCTTTCGTACATGCAAGAGTGCAACTTAAAAGTGAGTCCTTTTTCTCAGAAGCCTGCCCTAAGTTGCAGTCCATGGTGATATTTGTGTCTAAAGCTGAGAAAAAGCTTTTTCAAGGAGCATATTATTCATACATTATCTCTGTGTGTGTTCATGTTATCTTTGGATCTGAATTTTAAGTTCAAGAAGGGTGATTTGTGGCCCGGTGCAATGGCTTACGCCTGTAAATCCTAGAGGCTGAGGCGAGAGGATTGCTTGAGGCCAGGAGTTTGAGACCAGCCTGAATAAGAGTGAGACCCTTATTTCTACTTAAAATAGAAAAATTAGCAGGACATGGTGGTGTATGCCAGTAGACCTAGCTATTCCAGAGGCTAAGGCAGGAGAATTGCTTCAGCCCAGGAGTTTAAGGTTGCAATGAGCTATGAGGCCATAGCACTCTAGCCTGGGCAACAAACCATGACCCTGTCACAAAATAAATACATAAATAAATAAAAAGAAGAAAAAGAAGATGAGTGAGTTCTGCCAACTTTAACATAGGACTTTATTGAAACACCATTTATTGAAACACCACACACAAACAGATATCTATACAGTAGAACGACAATCAGAACAATCAGAAGGGTAGCTTATTTATGATGGCTCAGTTCACTATAAGCTCAAATACTAAAGATCACAAGATCACAGTTTGGACGAGACAAATATCACCAAGTGTGTTTTCAGTTATAATATTCATTTGGCATCAGAAAAATGATCCAGCTTACACACAGGGTTAGGCAAAGTTAGTATCAGCATTAAAGATGTACAATGCAACATAAAACCAACTGTGAAAACCAAAGCATTACTCAAGGATCATAATCAAGAACATAAGGACAATCAGAGGCAAGTAATTAATGATACTAATTCCCTTGGTCTGCTTCAGGGTCATTTTGCTTGTCTGTTTTGCCTTGCAGTTCCTTAGCAAATTTCTCAACTTCATAGAATGCAGAAATAAGTGGCTCAAGATCGAAATCATCATCAGCGAACTCTTCTTCTTTTTTGATATTTTTACTAATATTCTCAAATATTGCAAGAACAATTTGAATATTGTCAGGTGTCTCTTCCCTGTTGAAGAAGCCCATAAATTCTGACAGTGTTTCAGCACTGAGTAGTTCTTTTGTCATGACAAGATTTTCAGACAAATTCAGTAGTATTTTCAGAACATGAAACCTTGTTTTGGCATTGCCTGTAGCTAATAAGGAGAGAAACCCAGACATATAATTGGCAACCAGTGTGTGATAGTCAGAAGTAGTAGTGAAATGACTAATCATTCTTATTCCAGAAAGCTGCTCAGGGGAATCCAAGCTATAAGCAAGGGTTTCCTCACACACTTGACATATGTATGTCTGAATCATATTTAGATTTGGGTAAGGTGGAGCCATGTGAATCATATTTTCCAAAAACCTTGTTCTAGATCGGGAGGATGGATAATTGAGTAAGGTTTCAATAAGTGAGACAACACCCGAATCACGAATGAAATCTCGGGTAAATTGAGAAGCACTTTTCATACCCATTGCAATTTTAGATATTTCATGAACAAAAGGATCTCGAGTTTTCTCCATTAATAAAAGGAGTTCTTCGAACTCTTCAGAACCAATTTTAAGATCACATTGTATGCAGCTGCAGGACCAATTCTCTGGCTCTGCACTTGCCCTGGCCCTAAGATGCTCTCGAATTTCCCGGACTGACCGGTAGGAAGGCTCGTACTGAAATGGGAACTCAGGGTCAGGCTGATCAGTTTGAGATGAAGATTCCTGCTCTTCCCCTTCTGGGCCAAGTTCCATATTCTTGGGCTTTCCCCCAAACATCTCACAGAATAAAGATGCTGCTTCTTTTGGAAATTTAAAGGGGCTTATGCATGGGAAGCCAAGCCTACCCCATGGACCAGGCTTGAACTGAACAGTGACCTCCTCCCAAGTCTGAGGCCTGCGTGAAGGATCAGGATCCTGCTCAACTGAACACCCTGGCATGCAAATGTCCCTGAACACAGGTTTAGGATTTGATTCAAAATGGGCCTCATCTCCTGCCCAGAACCAGGACCCCACTATGGCCTCATCCTCATCAACTGATGCCCTGTACTCATAGTTGGTAACATTGTCAGTCCTGTTATTCATCTCATCTTCAGCTCCAAACAAATACCCAATAGATATCTCTTCCTCATTTTCTGACCTGGACTCATAGGCGGCCACAGATTCAGTTTCCTTAATGGCCTTGTCTTCAGACCAGAACCAGGATTCAACAATCATCTCTTCATCATTCTCTGATTTAGATACACAGCATGTCTCTGCTTCAGCCCAGAACCAGGATCCAAAAATGGTCTCCTCTTCAGTACCTGACCCAGTCTCTTCTACTGCCTGAGACCCAGCCTCTATGCTGGCTGCTTCTTCAGCCCAGAACCAGGACCCAACAGTGATTTCCTCCTCCTGAGTCCCAGGATTAAACTCAAAGTTGGTCCCTGCTGCTGCCTCCAGACTGGCCTCTTCTTCCCACAACCAGGGCCTAACAGTGACTTCTTCTTCTTCAGCTTTGTGACTGGATTTGCTGCAAAACTCATCCTCTCTTCTAATGGCCTCTTCCCTGGCCCAGAACCAGGACCCAACAATACCTTCCTCCTCAACTGTTAGCCTATTTTCTTCTCCAGCCTCAGGTTCTGCCTGGAACCTGTCCTCTTCTCCAGCCCAAAACCAAGAACCAATAATGTCCTCCTCCTCAGCTTCTGATCTGGACTCTTCTCTGTTGGTAGCCTCTATAATGGCTTCATCTTCTTTCCAAAACCAGGAATTGATCATGATCTCGTCTTCAGCTGGTAGCTTGGCCTCTTCTCCAGTCCCATCTATACTACCCTCTTCTGCAGCCCATAACTGGGACCCTACAATGGCCTCTGGCCTTGTGTATTTTTTGGACCAGAACCATGAATCAACAGTGTCCTCTTCCTCCTCTGAGCTAGACTTCCAGCTTCCTCCACTGGCAGAATACATACAGGGTTCTTCTTCTTCCCAGAAGCAAGACCTATTTTTAGTCTCCTCAGCTCCTGCCATAAATGTGCATCTGGCATCAGCCCCATACATCATACTGACCTCTTCTCTGGCCCGAAACCAAAATGGTATAATGTCCTCTTCCTCATCCTCCATGCCAGACTTACTGTTGACATCAGCCTCTACTCTGGCCTGGAACCAAGACTCAATAATGGGCTCCTCCTCATCAGCCCCTGGTGTGGTGTCACAGCTAGGTTCAGCCCCAGAATCCATGTGGGTTTGGTTTTCAGCCCAAAACCAGGATCCAAATATTGTCTCTTCTTCAGCTCCTGGCCTGGCCTGTTCTCTAACCCCAGTCTCCGTATCAATTTCTTCTTCAGCCCAGAACCAGGGACCAATGACCTCTTCTTCCTCAGAATTTAGCCTGGACTCACAGCTGACCCCAACAGCAGATTCTACACTGGTCTCATCAATGATCCAGAACCAAGACCCAAAAATGGTCTCTTCCTCAGCCTCTGGGCTGACTTCTTCACCAGCCCAGAACCAGGAACCAATAATGACCTCTTCATCATCAGCTGCTAGTATAGATTCAGAGATGGCCTCAATCCCAGTTTTCATGCTGGTCTTTTCTCCAGTTGTAAGCCACAAATCACTAATAGACTCCTCAACTATTGGTCTGGATAGACTGCTGGCACCAGTCCCCGCACTGGCCTCTTCTTCAGGCCAGAACCAACTTCCAACAATGGACTCATCCTCCACTTGTGGACTGGACTTGACACTGGCCCCATCCACCATGCTGGGCTCTTCTGTAGCCCAGAACCAGGTCCCAATGAGGACCTCCTCCTCTGACCTGGCTTCTTGCCTGGCCCTGGCTCTAGCCTTGCTTTTGGCCTCTGCCTTTGCTATTGCTCTGGCCCTGGCCTCTTTCTTGGTCTTGGGCCTTGAAAAGGTATTAATCTTCTCTTCAGGCCAGAAGCAAGACTCTTTTTTGATTACATCTATAGACCCAGACATGAAATCAACGCAAGCTTCTCGCCTGCCCCTGCGCCTGGCCCTGATATTGGCCTCTTTCCTGGCTCTGCGTTTGGATCTGAATTTGGCCTCCTCTCCAGCACAGAACCAGGACTTCATATGGCCTTCATTCTCAGATCCAGAACTTGATTCAACATAGACTTCTTTCTTGAACCTAAACCTGGACCTGCTACTGTCCCCTCCCCTGAGCCCAGAGGAGGTATTGGTCTTTTCTCTGGACCAGAACCAGGATGACTTCGCAGACTCATCCTCAGAACCAGAACTAGACACAATATAGAGCTCCTGATTAGTTTGGGGCCTAGACATGGTATTGGCTTCATGTTTGGCCATGTGCCTGGACCTAGTACTGGCCTTTGTCTGGTTCCTAGGATGCCCTCTTGTAGTGACCTCATCTCCACTCCAGAACCAGGAACTCATAGAGGATTTATCAACACCCCTGAAATTAGAATTGTAAGAGGCCTCTTGTTTGGACGTAGGCCTATTAGAGTGCCAGGACCCCATATAGGTCTCATCCTCTGACATAAGAGATGGCTGGAATCCAGCTTGAGAGTCAGCTTTCCTTCCCTGAAAGTTATCAGTGTCCATACTAACCAGTTCTCTATCCACAGACAGGGAATTAGTTTTAGCAACCAACTTAGAATCAGTACTGACCAGTGGAGAGGAACTGGTCTGGGCATACACCTGGGGTTCATCCTTAAATCTTGACCCAGGTATTGCCTTGGCCTTATTCTTACGACGTGACCTACGCATGGCACTTGCCTCAGTCTTTGGCTTTACTCCAGGCATAACCTTAGTCTTAGTTTTGGGCCTTGCCCCAGAAGTTACCTGGGTCTGGGTCCTAACCTTGGGCCTGACAACGAGAGGGACCTCATTCTCTCTCTCAGCCCCAGCCTCTTCCCCAGCCTTCTTTTCAGGCTTAGCCTGGGCACTAGGCTCAATCTCGGCACCAGTCATGGTACAAGTTACAGACAAAACCCAGGTATATAGCCCTCCCTCAATCTCAACCTTGACCACAGATCTGTCACAGGTTTGTTTCTTCACACTCTGATTTTTCAGTAATTTAGGATATGAGGTTGGAAACAAGAGTTACAGTCAATTGCCAGTCCAGCAGTCAGTCTCCTTCCCACGCAGACTCAATCAATAAGACGGACAAAGTGCAGAAGAGGCACAAGCAAGCTGAGGAAGATGGCCGGTTCTTGGGTGGGTTGAGACTTGTTGAAGGTGGCGGTCAGCAGCAACTCCACCACCACCAGAGCTGCCACTGGAGGTGGATCTAGGGAGAGAGAATGAAATGGGGCTTTGAGTCTCTTCTAGTTGTGTCACCCATGCAGAGACTTACACAGAGAGACTGGTGTTGAATGCTGGGTGGGACAGGTGGGTTATGAGAAAGACTCTCTGGCCCTGCTACCTGCTACAAAAGAGGTACAGGGATGGTAGGAAAGTATGTTGGCAACTGGGGGGGGGGCTGAGGAGCCCCCAGACTGGACCCTAATGAGTCCCAGACCATGCAGGTCTCTGCTACCCCATCCAGAAGTGTACCCACTCTCATACCAACCTTCACTGACGTGGTGCAATTTCTCCCTCCTTCTCTTGTTCAAGTGGTATCAAGCCCCACAACCAACAGCAGGGTGTCCTACAGACAAGGAAACATACAGGAGAGAATGGAGTCTGAGTGTTCGGTAGACAGGCACACATGCGGGCTGCTGAGACAAATATTTCTCTTCCATTCAAAGGTCCAGTCTGTCCAATGTTTCCAGTCTCCTGGTCCCTACCTGCAGGTCTTCTTCTCCCAGTCACAGCGCAACCTACACCTGTCTCAATATTCCTGATGTTTCCTGCAAGAAATGGACAAGGGATGCAGTGGCAGTGTGCAAATCTAGCAGAGAGCAGAAGCAGTCTTGCACCCACTTGGATCAAAGCCACCCACCATGCTCTCTCTCTGTAGCTATCCCCTGCATTGCCCCCTTTCTCACCAGACTCCAGAGGTTTGAGCCAGTCTCCTCCTCCTTTCCTTTCTTGCAGAACTGACCAGCTTTAGAGCAGGCCTATGGACAAAGAGATGAAAAGGTAAGACAGTCAGGAAATGAGGGTAGCAGCTGAATACTTGGTAGACAGACCAACAGCAAGGATAGGAGTCCCCATATTATTGGTCTTTCAACATTCAGGGTCCTGCTGGTAGAATATTCTCATCTTCTGTAGGCCCTGTTGCCAGGGTTCCAGAGATAACAACTCCTTCACTTGACGTCATAGTCTTCCCATTACTCCCTTCGCCAATTCTGAGGATCCACCACTAGGTGCACTATATCCCCTTTGAATGCGCAGCATAAAATGGGGGAAGGGTGCCGCATATTCTAGAAGGCAGGTTGTGAAGTGGTGCTTGTAAATATGACTCCCTCATCACCCCCACCTCCAAAGCCCATCTTTTCATGCCCCCCAGTTTGAGAGGGGTGGGGAGGAAGATGGGGGAAGTATCTGGAAGGCTGTGAGAGAGGGGAAGATTAGGAGATGTTCCTGGATGCCTGACTTGCTCTGGCCGCAGTCACCCCACCCCGAATCGGATCTCCAGCCAGTGCCTGGCGACCACCCCCCATCCCCACACACCTCCAGAAATCCAGGCCATTTCCTGCTCCTCCTTTTTCTCAAGCCTCTGGTCTACAGATGCTCACCGTGGCCCGGGAGAATACGCCAGACCTACCGCGCAGACAGGAGACTTTGACATCAACCTGAGCCTGTGGGAAGGGACAGCACCCAGGACACGGGGCCCAACGGGCGCCTTTCCGGAATTAGAGCCCGAAGTAGCAAACTCGACCCCCTCCCGCTGCCGGGCACAGGGCTCCGACACCAGCCCCTGCCCCAGGCGGCGTCCCCGGGAGCCCCCCACCCTGGCTCCCGCTCCGCCATTTCTCCCACAACACGCCCCCCCCACACACACACACAGCCCTCTCCGGGCACAGACACCGTCGAGGGCGGGACGCCGGCGCCTGCAAAGCTGGCTGGGACACGGTCAGCGCGGTTCGCATCCAGACAACCTGCGGTGCCTCTCTGGCCACCCCATCCGCCCTCGGCCAGGCCCGACCCGCGCAGGTCGCCGCCTCCTCTTTGCCAGGGGTCCCCGGGCACTGCGCACCTTTCTCAGGGACGGGATCCGATCGCGTCGCGTCCTCCTCGCCGGGTTGCCAGGGTCTGGGGGACAGGCTGCCAGCGGGTCGACGCGGGAGGGGACCACCCACGCCCCCCACCACACCCCCACTTGCCTTCACAGGCTCAGGGCCCAGGCCGTTGGCCTCCCCCTCCTCTCCTCCGCTTGGCTCTGCTCTGCTCTGGCTGCTCCCTCACCCGGATTCCCACCGCCTTCTGTGGTGCGATCAGAATTGCGAAGAGGCGGCCCGCCCCCCGCGCCTCTGCAGCAAACTGGGCAGGGGCTACGCAGGATGCGGCAAGAGCCAGTCGCCTCGAGGGTGTCGGGAAGGGGGGCGGAGGGATACTGCGCGAATGGGCTCGACGCCCCCTCCCGGGCCCACCGTAGTTCCGACCCAGAGGTGGGCGGGGCCACCATCAGCCCGGGGCCTGAGGGGCGGGCTGGCACTAGGCTGCCTCAGTAGGATCCCGCGGACCCTAATGTGGCGACCACCGCCACATTTCTGGCGCTGCTACAATAGAAGGGACCGGCGGGAGGCGGGGGGCGTAGGAGGACACGGGCGTAGGGGGACACGGGAGGTCGGGAACAGCAGCGCATGAGGAGCAGCGGATGGATACCAAACAGCCCCTTAGTGTGTCTGCACCCCCACACTCTGAGTGATTGCTACCCCCCCTACTCCTCCCCAACCCCCAACCTCTCTCCACCCCCTGCCTGGCCAGCTCAGCCTCTCTCCTGAACGCTAATGGGAGGGGGGTGGTGTGTCAGGGCTGTAGGCTTGGAGGGGGTAGGGGTCTTGGGCCAGACTGCCCTGGGGCTCTATGGTGGCCCTCCCATGCTTTTCCTTCTCTGGTTGGTGGAGCCACGCAGGGGAGAAAAGTACACCTGCTCTTAAGATAACTGGGTGGGAGCTCTCATAAAGGCCTCTCCAGTGCCCCTCTTATACAAAAAGACTGAGCTAGACCTCTAACCCTAGGGAATCAAGTATTGGTATGTGCCAAGAGTCATTCATTCTGCCACACTGCTTTTTCTCATTCCAAATGGTAACTTACTTTGGCATTGCCCTGTCCCCAGCTGCCCGTGGAAGAGGGCCTTTCCCTGTCAGGACCTGGGTGGGGTCACACAGTCCTCCCTCTCTTCTGCCCCTCATCCAAGTCTCAGGCACCAGGTAGGGCTGGTCCTGGCTCTTCTTCATCTATGTCAAGTGTTCCCTTATGAGGCACATCCAAGTCCTCATTGTATTTGGTTGTGTAGAAATGCAGTAGAGATTCCCACCAGCTTAGATCTCAGTGACTTGCCATACCCCCTGCCTAGTTTTCCCCAGTCATCCTCAGGGGAAAATAGTATCCCCCCCCCCCGCCATGTACCCACTTGCCTAAGACAGAAACCTAGCTGTTTTCAAATCCTCTCTTTTCACCCCCACTTCCTTCGTCTACTCTTGAGCCCCTCCTCTCCCTGCCTGTTGCATGGGATACACAGAGCAATGTGGTTACAGTTAATGCTGTTACTGCTATCCATTTAAAACTCATTTAAATACCACCCTCATTGTCTTTGGCAGGTAATCATACCCCAAAGATGTCCATGTCTTGTTCTTTGGGACATGTAACTTGTCACCTGGCATAGGAGAATTAGGGTTTAAGATGGAATTAAGGTTGCTAATCACCTGAATTTATCATAACATTATACTGATTTATCCTGGTCAATGTAACCACAAACATTTTTTTTTCACAAACATATTTTATATGTGGAAAAGGGAGCAGAGTGTCTGTGTCCATGAAAATACTAGAGAGGCCATTGTTGGCTTTGAAAATGGAAGGAAGCCAGAAGCCAAGGAGTACAGCCTGTCTCCATAACTTGGAAAAGACAGATTGTCTCCTAGAAACCCCAGGAGCAGCTCTGCCAACAAGTTGGTTTTATTGTAGTGGAACCCTTGTTGGGTTTCCAACTTTCAGGACTGTAAGATAACAAATTTGTGTTATCTTAAGCCATTCCATGTGTAGTAATTTGTTTTAGCAGTAGTATCAACCAAATATACTCCCCATCCTGATGAAGTCTATTCCCCTTGACTTTCTTTACCTGTGCTTCAATCCCTGGGAAATGTTTTGAAACTCATCTCTCACCATTAGTGCCACAAATGCCCTTCTCTGTTTTCCAGATATGTCCAAAATCACAGTAACAGAAGCTTCTCTGGTAATTCTGGAGGTGCTAGGATCTTTATACCAAGATACTTACTGATAGAGGAGTGGTTCTGCCAAAAGTTGACAGGTTTTACTGTGTGATTCTTTGAAATAACTGTTGGATAATTTGTTGTCAATTAATGTAGGAAACATGGTCTTTTATTGGTTAATATTTATTGAAGTGATAAACGCCGTACTTTAACCTTTTATATGTGTTATCTTTTTATTTGTATCAGAATATTATCTTTAAAATCTGAGCACAAATACAAGATTGAAATAAGATAGTGACCTTATATTCTTACTGCTAACTAAGCACTATTTACTTACTCCTGAAATGGATTCCAGTTCACCAAATTGCAATGATCATTCTACTCACCAGTGTCTCCACTAGCACCTTTGTAACCCTGACTTACCCCAAAATATAAATTTCAGAGCCAAATAATCTACTAGCATCAAGTCCAAGATACTGAGGCGACTGTGCTCACTCATCATACCCACTATTTTCCTTCTAATCCCACCCACCTTCTACCTGCATGCAGGTGAACTTGCACACTAGCATATCCCTTGCCTGTGCAGCTCACTCAATCTCCTCTTGTCCTTCTCAATCACCATGGTAATGGATCTGTTTTTGCCCACTTAGCTTTACTTGCCTCTCTACTTTCCTTCATGTGTCTCAGGCAAACCTTCTTCCTGGGACCTCTCCATTGGTCAAAGTTGAGCCAAACTTTGTGTGTTCTTAGCATGTACCCCTTCTCCTATCCCTGAGTTTTAGGGGCTCTACATAGGAATTAAAATTCCCTGGCGTCAGGACCCACTAAGCCAGGGTGGGTCTGGTGAACTAACTGGTGAAATTGGCCCAATGGATGTTGACTTTCAGTACACACTGAAGATGCTATGGGAAAGATTTCAGCCTGTGTCAGCTACTGGAGACAGGATACATTTGCTGAACTGGTGGGGAGGCCTGACCTAGTAATATTTTCAGGTCCTATTGGGGGTGGGGTATACTTCAAGAGAGTTCATCCTTAGGAAAAACCAAGTCAGGCACAATGACCCTAGCCCATCAACAATGCCTAGTCATTAGGGAAGTATAGCTGTTCTGATGGCAGCACTGAGATTAGGACTCCTATTTGTGCTTATTCCAACACAAACCCTCAACTCTCTCTATCATAGCAAAGGCAGGTTTATAAGTAATCCCAGAAGAAACTTTTTCTAAATAAACTATTAACACTCCAGTATGCAGATCCCATTAATAAAGTATAACCTAAAGACAAGAAAATATCCTCCTCTCCAGTGTAGCTTTAATGTTTTGACTACTACTCAGCTCTGACATCACAGGAACTCTGTGTATAGATGGGGTTAGGAAAATCAGAGGGAAAATTTGGAGGGGCTTAAGTGCCTGGCAGTAAAGCTTAAAATGGCAGCAACTACTGGGAGAATCTCAGGAAAACCACCAAAATTCAGGATATGGAAAATAAGCCCTGAGGGTTTTTAAAACTATAGGAACTGGTAAGGGGAGCTAATTAGCTTTGTAGGGAGAAGAAATCCTAAATTTCAACAATGCCAATAAGTATTGGAAATTAATAGGATGTAGTATTACTTTTTAAAATAGAAAAAAATAATGAGAAGTCCACACTACCTTTTGTTGATGTTTCTCATTAACTAACCATTATTCCCTGCCTCGCCATGATAGAGCCTTATTGTAGCCTGCATCCAGCCAGCAGAATGATAAAAAGGAGAGTAGAGGTAGTTCATCTCTTAAATCTTGGTCTTCTTAAAATCTTGGTCCTTCTTAAAATCCTCAGGAAATGCTCACATCATTTCTGCCCACATCCCACTGATGGGATTTACACAATTTATTGAAAATTCTGTTCTTTCTCTACATGTGGTGTTAAGACAACTGGATATCCACAGACTGAAGAATAAAGTTGTCACAACAAATTAGGAATAGAGTGCAACTTCCTCAACTTGATAAAGAACATTTAAAAAATTCTAAAGTTAACATTATACTTAATGGTGAGAAACGAAGTTTACCACTAAGATCAGGAAAAAGGCAAGAATGTACCCTATCACCACTGCTTTTCAACATTTTACTGGAAGTCCTAGATAATGCAATGAAGCCAAGAAAAGAAAATCGAAGGTATACTGATTGAGAAGGAATAAATAAAACTATCTTTGCTTGCATCTGAAATGATCATCTATGTAGAAAATATGAAAGAACTGACAAAAGGAAACAACTTCTAGAACTAGTAAGTAATTATGGCAAGGTTGTAGGATATAACATTAATATATAAAAGATACAACTATTATGTACTCATAATAATTAAAAATAGAATTTTTTTAAGAAAAACAAAAAAATACATAAAAGAAATGGATTTCCC